TTTATTTATTTTTAATTAATCAAATTCTCAAATAAGTTTTTTAATTTAATATATATCATAATTATATTTTTAAAATAAAAATCATGAATAATCTAACAAGCATTAAATACAAGAAATTTCATTAAATTCTTATAAATTTTAATAAGAGATTCTTTATTTTTATCTCATGACAAATATATCCTCTTTTGATTTTTAATAACAAGTCTTCACTCCTCTCAATTGCTTGCATTTTCTCTCATCTCTCCTCTTGCTCACTACAACCTCCATATTTAAACCAAAAAAAAGCTTTGAATACAATAGCAAGATATATTCAACAAAAGCTAAAAACAATTCAACAAAAGATGAAAACACATCAACAAAAAGGAATATTTGAAATGAATTTAAAATTCAAATAATCTTAAGAGGTGTTGCAATACTTTGGTTCCTCTTTGTTAAAACTGAATTTATTTAGGTTGGGTTGAGGTCTGATGTCGTATAATTGCTAATTTCAAAGACTTGCAAAGTTAGAGGATGTTTCCCCCAAAAAGACACTTTGATGTTCAAGTTAATAATGTTTTATTACTTTTAGGGGAAAAAAATCTCTCAATTAGAATATATAAAGAGAGAACTTGAGTGAAAGGTAGTTACCTTTAATGTGGTCGTTAAAGAGTATTTATAGTCCACTTGTGACTGCACTAACATTTAACTATTTTCAACTAGCACACTGTTGTTCACTAGTCAAACCATTCCTTTGGGAGGCCATTCTCCATATGGACTTGATATTGGACCTATAGCCTATTATAAATATTGGCTTACTATCCCAAGCTCCAATGTTTTTGAAGCAAGCTACAAAATTTTAAATAAGCCTAGTTTTCTTGACCTAAAGGTCTTGAAAATCCATGATGGAAGAAAGTAGTATTAAGAGGCTCATGATGAGCACAGACACCTTTTGCTTGGTTGCCAAAAGCACTAAGTCTAATAAGGCACAATGGCCTTTGACCGAGCTACAATATAGCAATTAGGCAATTTGGGAATTTGCGGGTTCTAAGTTTATCAAAGTGTAACACTTTAAAATATTGTTGGTGAAGCATCCAATGACTTTGTGTGAACCTTGACAAAATATGCTTAATGAAGCATTCATTAATGTTGTGCAAATTTAATAAAAAATATTGTTGGTAAGACACCTGCCACTAATGATAAGGAATTCAAAGAAGCTAACTTTGTTATCCATAAATGGCGAGGACTTTAAAAAAGTGAAATATGTTTCTATAAATCACAAGGTTTAAAAGAAGTTAAGTTTGTTATCCATAATTAGTTAAGATTTTAAAATAACTCAATTTTTATAAATGGTGAGGATTTAGCATTCATGTCACTCTATCAAGAGTAGTTTTAATTATTTAGCCTGTTGGTATTATGCTACACCTACAGGTAACGCTTAAAGGATGATCCATTTCTTTAATAGATTTCACATCATAAGTTAATTCTTCCAAACCTTAGTCTATTCCCCACAATGATTGAGACCTTAAATACATTTGTCTATTTTCCACAATTATAAAGACCGTGAACAAAACATGAGCTAATTTATTTATCTAACAATATAAAAATGAAGTTTAGAAATCAACTAGTTGTCACTCCTAATAATATATTGGAAAAAGAAATCTAAGATGTTTTTTTATAATGAGAATAGTTGGTGATGATCTATAATCTTCCACTCCCAACTAAGTATGGAGATAGCATTTTTGTAATCCATATAATGATAGCTAATGTCAAGCTTCATGAAAATTGCTTATCATTCATATGACTTGTGGTCACATCGAGTTTGTGTAACATTTTATTCTTGATTTTGTTGTTTTAGCCACCTTTTGTCAACATTCTTGTTTAATGTTATCAATGCGATTATACTTCATTATGTTTGATTTGTTATTGTTAAGATTAACTAGCAAATTTGAAAATTTGTCAGTGAGGTTGTAACTAATAATAATGCCTCTAATGAAGGGGATTCAACCATGGAAGTGACAATAACCAATGATTGTTTCAAGTTGACAAGCACATTGAAGAAAGTAGTAACAGTAAGAGCATATTGTTAGTAAGTGTTAAGAAGAATTGGTTTTGAGCTTGGTCAATATTTGTGTTAGGATGAGCTTGTCAAAATAAAGTGTCCTAGTTTTAATCATAAGTGATAGGGGGCCTTGTCCCTATCTCTTCAATCCCAGAGAAACAAGTAAAGCTTGATGCCTTCGATATAACTCAAAAAAATAATAAAGGAAATCTAGTTGGTAAAAACTGAAAGAAACACCTACAATAATATTTCTCAACAATATTTTAAAAATCCTAAAAATTACTATAAGGAAACTATTTTAAGGAATTATAAAGGAAATAGATATAAATGAAGAAGACAAAGGATATAATTTTTCAACATCTCAATAATAGAATTATCTAGTACCACCCTCTAAACTTTTAAAAAATTATTAAAATAGTTTATTAATTTTTATTTTTATAATTTTTGGTACTTTTTTAATTATAATCCATTTCTTTATCAATCTTTCATTTTGCCACTAAATTTTATTCTGGCTTCATCATTGCTAGTAGCTAAATAGCCCTAAACCGATCTATAACATTAAAACACAAAAAGACATGAAAAAAACAACATTGACTAACTTGATTAACTAATTTGAAGTGGCCTTGACGTTACAACAATAGCACCTCAGCTTTAATGTTGCATCATATCCAATTTCTCCATATATTATCTACCTTCAATAGGATAGTGAAAAGGCCTTAAAATCATTCAAAAGAGTGGGTCACTAGAAGAAAATAAATAATTTTCTGGTCAAATGAAAAAGCTTTTGGCAAATTGATAGAAGATTGAAACTTGTTATCCATGTTAACTTTAAAAACTTGTTTCATTACACAATTGCCATCATAACTAATTTAAGTTTATTTATAATAATAAGTCTACCTAAAAGCCCTCATCTTCTTCCTCAAGATCCAATCCTTTCTCCTTTTCTTATCCCAAACCAAATAATCTCTACCCAAAACTCAATTGTCTCTTCTTCTCTTATATCTCCTCTATTGCAATCTTACCCCCAAGTCTTCCTATCACATTTGTTTAATTCTAAACCCTTAATTTAAATATATATATATATATTAAAGGAAGAACCATGAATGGCAAATTTTACCATATGTTAAATTTTTGTTTACTTGTAAATTATTCTTCTTATGACATGTTCTAGACTTACCATATTTGGTATTTTTTCCAATTATTTTTTTATTGTGGAGTATATGCATCGTTATTAATTAAATTAATTTAAATTCAATTAAATTAGTTTAAATTAAATTAAATTCAATTCAATTCAATTAAATCATAACACTGTTGATTTCCTAATATCATGCCCTAATTTCATGGACAAAAGCCATCAATTATCTTCGCACAAGAACAAAACCTACTAATTATCTTCCAACTTCTATTGATTCTCTACCGTTTACTCATCATTCCCATGCAATCAAATCAGAACGATGGTGGATGAGTTCAAATCAAATGCTAACTATTGGGATTCTTCCATCTATAATCATTTTGATGCCAAATTTTATTCTTTTGGGTTCAACAACTTTATATACAAAAAAGGAGAAATAGTGCATATAAAGTTCAAACTTCTATGGATTTCAATCTATTTCAAGTGCTTTTGAGATAACCTAGGTTGAATCTTGTTACTAGCTTAATAACCTCTTTAGGCTAAGGTCTACTAGCCCTTATAAGCTTAAGCTTAAAAGCCAACTATTTGGTACATCATTCCACTTTTTGGTATATTATTAAGCTCAACTCCCAAACTCATTTATAATTCCTCATTGATGTGAGATTCAAGGTGTTACAACTTCAATGGGTTTCTATGATACTCATAAGTTGCTAGTTAATTGGTCTGAACTCGTTATTAATGTGAATGACAATCTATGAATTATAACCAAACTGTTTTATTATAATTTTTAGAGTTTTATATATATTAAAATCAATTACTTATTTGGATATATTCTTAATTTTGGACTATTTTAAGAGTAAAATTTTTTTGAATTCTAGTTACTCATAAATTCAATGCAGTATGTTTATCTTAATCATTGTAAAATCTTTTTCTACAACATCAATTTTTGGGGGAAAAAAAGCATTAACCTGCTACTTCCTTTTGGTGTTTTTAAATGTCGGAACTCTTTTTCTCCATTTTTTTTTGGATATCATCCATTCTTTTTAATTTTTTCATTTATTACTTTTTTTGAAAAAGAGTACAATGAATACTAAATATACTTCTTACTTCCCAATACATTGGTATTCTCTGCTTTTATTTTAAAAACAATTCTAACATTAATAACAAGTCAACTAAAGTAGAGTCTCTTCCTTCTTCTAAGTTTTTAAGTTTCAAAAAATTAATTAAAGACATTATAATAGAAAGCAATAATGAAGAATACACATAGAGAAAGTAAAAAGAAATGGCAAGGCATATAAATCAGAATGATTTTCTGTTGTTTC